CCTTTAGTGTGTGACTAGAAACAAACTACTGAACTCCCAGAGCAGTAGCTCTTCACCTAGAAAATGGAGCTAACATCCACTTGGTTTGCTTTTTCACATGGTTGATGCAACAATCACGTGAAGAAATGTAAATGACGATGTAAATGAAAGTGCTGTGTAACAGAAAACTGATTACATGAGTAGTAAAATGGTGCCACCTTCCTGGGGTTCTACCTGCAATCAAACTAGAAAATGACTTCTTGGAGGCATTTCTAGAGCTCCTGTTCAGTGGCTGAGAAAATGAAGATAAACTGCTAGGACAGTGTGACAGTTAATCGAGAAAGTTGGTAAAGCACATGTGGATGTGGCTGGGGGCTTTCTGGACACACTGGCACGTGAGACAGCACATTGGCGAGGGAGGCCACCCTGACTGTGGGCAGCACCAACCAATAGTGTGGAGCCTGGAAGGAACAAAGGCAGAGGGGAAGAAAGAAGCTTCCTGTCACCCTCATTTCCTGGCCTCCATGAGGTGAGCAGCTTGTCCCAGAGTCATCCTTCCCCTGGATGTTTCTGCTTGCCTTCAGGCCTAAAGCAGTGGTGCTGGTCGACAAGGGACTGAACTTCTGGAATCAGAATTCAAAATAAATCTTTCTTCTGTAACATTTTTTTTCTCAAATATTTTATCACAGCAATACAAAAAAGACGAACATAGACCTTTTATTTTGTTTGTTTTGTTGTGGCTGTGGTTGTTGTTGTTCATGCTGTTGTTGTGAGATAGCTATGTTGCCCAGATTGGACACAATCTTGAGATCCTTGTGCCTCAGACTCTCAAGTAGCTGGAACTATCAGAGTGTTCCACCACACTCAGCTAAGGCAGTTATTTCACTGGACTCAGGCCAGCTCACACCCTCCTCCAAACACATCACACAGGTTGTTTACACAGTTCATTTGGAAATTCATCTCATGCTGCATGATGGTGGCATTAATTCTCATTTGTGTCTCTTTGTTATGTTATTTTTGTGCATTGAAATATATATCTCATGTCTTTAGCTAGAGTATAAATGCCTTCAGGATGATTTGATGTGCTTGATGTACATATTAAATGAGTATCAAGAATCTAATACAATATCAAGAGCATGGTAATAGTTCAATAAACAATATCTATTATTTCCTTTCAGATACCCTAGCATGGACTTAGGTCCAGAATATACACAAGTTATCTATCAATTGAATAATTTTAGAAAGAAATATCATGCTATGGGACACTGTTTAAAGATTTCCTTCAACAATAATCACATCGGAGTTGAAAGAACACTCCAGGTATTGCATTACCTCCAACTGAGAGTAATAGTTAAGAGAAAAAGGAGGGCAGTGATGGTTAACACAGGCTTTGGAGTCATGCAAAACTTGCCTTCAGTGTCTGTTCCAACTCTCCCTAGATATACGATGTTGACCAAATTATGTAACTTTGTCAACTCCAAAATAATAATGATAATTCCTCAGGGCTGTGGGGAGAATTAATGGAGTCCACATGTGTGAAGAAGTGGCATAGGGTTAAACAACAATAATTACTCTAAATATTAAGAGTCCAACAGTTTTGTATTCTGTGACTGAGGACTATAAGAAAAAAGACTGACATATCCACAAGATCTCCTAACCCATCAAGCCAATGTCCACACTTTAAAAATTAAGTAGGGTCGATAGCATATACATAAACATACTTAATATATGTATTTTCTGGAAAAAAGTTCAAAATTCTAAAAAATGCATGTTTGTTTTTGGAAAACCATCCCTTTCTGGTTTAGTCCAAGATTAGTTTAGTGACCATTAGGGAAATACAAACAAAAGGTGCAGTGATACACCATGACACATCACTGGAAGGACTATCACCAAAAAGGCAGAATAATAAATGTCAGTGCATATGCAGAGGAAGCTGAAACCACTATATACTACTGGTAGCTGCTCTTTTTGGCAGCTAGCATTTCTTCAAAATTTGAGTTACCATTAAAATTATCTTTTAACCCAGGAATTTCACTTCTGAGATTATTCCCAAAAGAAGTAGAAACATATGTCTACACAAAAACTTATACACAAATGTGCATAGTATTGCCGATAATAGCCAAAAGGTGGAAATAGCACAAATATCTACCAAGTGATGAATGCTTAAGTAAAATATGATATGTCCATACAATGAATGTTGTTTGGTGATGAACGAGATTAAATATTGGTGAACACAACATGAATGAACCTTGGAAATTTTATGTAAGGTGAAAGAAATCAATCACAAAAGGCCACATATTGTGTGATTCTATGAATTATATCTCAATAACACTTTTTAAACGACTAGATTAGTGCTATATAACTAGAAATGGCTAATTTTTCACAGAATGTCAAAAATACCCAACTAATAAAACTCTTAAAACATTAAAGATTATTTGAAGAGTTTTTAAGATGTAAACACATAACTAAAATATAACTGCATTTGGTGGTTGGTTAAAGGTGCTACTCAAAAATTTAGAAACATAAGACTCATCAGTTATACATTTAAGTAACCTACATAGTAAACTACATAGTTATTAATTAAATTTAAGGTTAAAAACCATAGAACCAGTTTTTAAATTATTGCATTTTCTTTCCAAATGTTAGTCAATGTCTTCAAAACCTTGAAATTTTTTTTTACAGAACTTGTCAGGTTTTTCTGATTACTCAATAAAATGTTACAAAAATTATGGAGAACAAAAACTACTAATTGTTTATAGTTATGTTATTGAAAAACTAAACATATTTACCAATTATAATTTGTTATATGATATGTTCTAAGAATAGAAAATCAATTGAAGGAAATAAAACATTCATACAAGGGAACACAACTAATATTAAAAAGGATGACTGCCTCACAATAATTTAATAAAAATGGAAGATTAAACTTTTAAAAATTCTCTGAGAATTGTGTTTTATTTTCTCATTACATTTAGAAAACTGGGTTAGCACAAGGAAAACTCACATTTACATGTGAGGAATTATTCTAACACTTGCTTTTGATTAGGGACCATGGATCAGTGAATCGGTGACTATGGATTAAATGGAGCTTTAGAAAATAGCTTAGCTTTCAGAGAAGGGCACTTTTTCAAAGAATCGTAAAATTAGTTCTTACAAGTCAACAGAGAGAGAGAAACAAAAATTTCAGTTTTTCTTCCCACACACTAATGAAGCATATTTAAAAGTGTTTGCATAGTCAGAGTATACAAATCTGAAATTAATTCTGATTATAAAAAGCAACATCTTCAGCAGGTTTAGTTTTCTAAGTGTCAATTAGAAGCCATGTTTAATGTTTCATTTTAGGTGAAGCTGTTACCCTGAACACTAACAAGGTGATAATTGCAATGGGATATATAAAAATGCACATTAGCATTAACTCAATTTCATAGTGCTTGTATATAATAAAAATTCATACTGCTTGTATATAATAAAAAAACAATGTGCAACATATTTAAAAATTACTATAATGCTATCCATACATTTTTCAAAGTCAAAAGTCCACTCTCCAAAAATCTAACTGAAACCTCCTTTTATGCATAACCATCAAGAGAAACCAAACTGGAATTCTCAAATTATTTAAATAAACTGATTGATAAATTCCAAATGAAAATAAATTGAGAGTAGCTGCATTTATATTAAGCTTTAGAAAAGTTTATAACTGAATATTAAATTTCTTGCTAGTAGTAAAATACATGCCAGAGAGCAAGCCATGTCCTTGGAATGAACTCCTGTCACAGACATCTGGTCCCAGGGACAGGTATTTTCCAGGTCTAGGGTCCCGCAATCACATCTCCAAGAGATTTTCTGCGCGAAGTGTTGGAAGGCGTACTGGGCGTGTCGCTGATCCCAAGGTCCCTACCAGGGCTCCTTGGGTGGAGGTGGGGTGAAAGGGAGAGAAGAAACGGGAGGATGATAAGGGAATCTGAACCAAATGTTGTCACATGCTAGAGATGATTAGAGGCCCTTGCCTCAGAGCTGTTACAGAGATCCAAGGGAAAGAGGGGAACGAGAGGTCAAGTGCAGGCTCATGAGAAAGAAAGAAAAAGTTTATGGTACATAGTGGAGGGCAAAAGCCAGAAGCCTGCTCCCGCACCCCACCCGTTTCCTTCTTAAATACCCTCTGGTCCTGGGAAGCAAGAATGGAAGTAGGTCTTGTTGCTTTCTATTAACACCTCTCAGATTTAGTCCCACCATGTGTTTGTAATTAAAATAGAAGCCTTAGGAAGAATACCATGTACCTTTCCTCTGAGGCTTTGCTAAACCAAGCTTAACACACTGCAACCAAACTGGCCCTCATTATACGATGCCCATTTTTAAATATTTGTGTCTTATCATCACAGCTACTTTTTGGTAGGATCCATGTCTTACACATTCATTCAGTTACTAGCATGGAGTACCTGCTAAATTCTAGTCCCTGTTTTGGACCGTAAACAAAGAGATCAAAACCTTTGCTCTTCTGGGTTTTTGAAGCAAAAATAGACATTGAAAAAATTAAATGAGCTGGGAGTGATGTGCACCCCTGTAATCCTAGCCCTCAGGATGCTGAGGTAGGAGGATAGTTATGAGTTCAAGGCCAGCCTGGGCTACAAAGTGAGTTCATAGTGAACTGCATCATGAAACGCATATGTTCCTACAATCCTGCCTAGTGACACTATGTATTGTCTCTAATGTTCTTTTAAATTACTTTTTTCTTATTCCCTTCAGTGGTTTGATCAATCTTCTATTCTTATATCTGGTTATCTGAGCAACTTCGTTGAAGATAACACTATGTCATATAACAACCACTGTTAATCTCCATCATTTGGTTTGAAACCCTGTATCATTTTTAATGTCCTTGCTTTCTGTTGTCTGTATTTTGCTATTGTTCTTTTTTTTTGTACTATTTTCTTTAAAATAAAAAAAGACAAAAGGAAAAATTAAATAAGCAAAAATCTGGTATAGCGTTTCACTAATTTTTAATTTTTTTCACATGCTAACATATGTAAATTAGTATGTATGGGTTTTTAATTGAATAGTCAAATTATACTTGGTATTTTTTTCTTTATGGTGGCCCATAATACACTGATAACCTTCTGTGATAGTCTTTAGGAGTCAATTAATGTAAGGTGATAGAAAGTGACAAGTACTTTGAGAGAAGAATCCAGAGGGGCATGCTGGGATATTGGGGGTGTCAGGGACAGCATCACTGAGAAGGTGCCACTAGAGCCCAGACTTGAAAGGGGAAAGTGGAGCCTTCCAGACAAAGGAAGTAAAACGCAAACATCTGGAGACAGGTCTGGGCCAGACAAGGCGAGAGCAACTGGAGCTGACCTGGGGTTAAGGACAGCAATAAGAAGGGTGAAATCAGAGAATTAACAAGAAGGGGAGACTGCAGAGGACTTGCATACCACTGTAAGGACTTTGACCCTTATGCTGAGAGAGATGGGAAGTGGAGAAGGGTGTGGAGGCAGCATAATAACAATATTTGAAAGGTTTAAGCAAGCACCTCTCATTGCTATGGATGGGCTGGGGAGAGAAAGGAGGAAACAGAGGCCAGTCAGGAACCTCCAGCAGTGGTCCGCTTCATAGACGACAGTGCCCCTTGCTAAGTGTTAGCAGGAAAATGATGAAAAGCAGTCAGACTCTGAGTGCATTCCGAAGAGAAAAACAAGATAAGATTATAGCAGACGGGCGTTTTAAGAAACAGAGTTAGAATCGTGAGTAACTCCAAGGATTGGGGCCCAAAAATCTGGACTAAGGAGGTATCTTCAGTTATTCCAGTTGTCAACAGAGGGTCCCCATACATATTACACTACTGAGTTTCTTTTCTTTTTTGGGGGGGGTTTTTTCCAGTACCAGGAATTGAACTCACGACCTTGCGCTTGCCAGGCAGGCACTGTGCTGCTGAGCTAAATCCCCAGCCCCTACTACTGAGCTTCTGACCAAGCTGGAAACTGCACTATTTAAAACTAAGAATTCGAATTGTCACAACAGTGAGAGTCCTGGTACTGAGATGGTCGCTCACAAAGGTGGAGAAAGAAGACGCGCAGGAGCAGGAGAGTTGCCTCAACGTACCAGGCCCTTTACACACGTTATCCCAGTTAACCTGCCCTGCAGTCCAGTATTTTGACTCATCTTTTACAAGTAAAGAAATTAGGTGCCAGATTGGTTCAGTGACCCCCCCAGGGTCACCTCACTACAACTGTCCAAGAGGTGAGAGCTTGCTTTCTCCCCGGGAACAGTTGTAACTCTCTAATTGGATCTTCCGATAGCTGGCCCTACTTTCTAGCTTTCCTACAGCTTCCAGCTCTGCTCTGCTTCCCTCTGCTTAGGGAAGCTTCCCCGTTTTCCTGTGTGATGATCAATGAAATTAGGTGCCACATAAACCATCCCCTGCCAACACCCTTCAGCTCCCGGGAAGTGCTCTGCTGTTCTAGCAGAACTCTCTGTCCACCCAGGGTCCATCCATTCTCCAAAACCCAACCTCCCTTCCACATCTCTTCACTTTTTATCTCCCCAAGACTTTTCATCCGGGGAGCGACACCTCGGAACCTGAAGACCATTGCCTGCCTTTACTGACCAAACCAGTATGATCCTCAGGCCAGTGTGCAGCCACATCCTCTTGGGCAGTGGCCGCACAGATGGTCCTCAAGCTCAGTGCCCCAGCAGATGGTGAGCCACCCCCACATAGCCTCGTGTGAATGAGGAGTGGGGGCCTTGGTGTGAGTTTGATGGTAGCGAGGGTCCTCTGAAGCTGCACTATTGCTGTCTCCCAGCTCCCGCCCGCTACAAGCTCCTGGATTCTAATGGAACTCGTTCAGAATCTCATCTTTTCTCCTCAAAACCAGTGCCCTAGGGTTTTCCCTAGGTCTGTGTCTGCTGAGCTCAGCCAGGGTGCTGAAGCTAAGTACAAACAAAGCCATGAATGAACAGTGCAGTAGGCGGTGCAGCAAAGGTGCTTGTCTTAGTTACTTTTGCATCCATGAGACACAATTCCAACACCCACAAATTAAAGAAGGAGAGGTCTATACTGGCTTCCGGTTCGTAGAGGTTTCAGTTTATGGCTCCAAAGCAGGACAGTATGGTGGAGGGGCGCCATAGAGGAGATGCGGCTCCTGCCAGTGAGGGGAAAGCAGAGATAGCAAAGGGAGGAGCTGGTAGGGGAGATAAAGCCTTCCAAGCCCCTCCCCAGTTCCCACCTCTCCTGACCAGGCCGTGTCTCCCAAGAGCAAGTCCACTGTAGCACTACACGATTCAATCTGCCCAGGACCACACAAGGCTTTAGGGGGACATTTAGACATAAACCATAACAATGCTGGAAAACTGAAGAGAACCGCCACACAGAGCCTGCCCTGCTAACTGTATAACCTCTTCCTTCTCATCAGCCTTCGATTCTTGAGTGGGAAAACACTTCAGGAAGCAAGGTTGTTGCCCACTTGTTGTCCCGCTTGTTGCCTCTACAAACTGCTGTCCGTTACGTGAACATCTATCCAGATTGCATAGTTTCTCCCAAGGTTGTTTTCCATGTGCTCTATTCAGTGCTGCAGTGGTTTCATGAAGATGACATTTTTATTCCAGATCTTTTAGGTAGTTGGTACTAAATCAAGACAATGTGGAGAAGTGACCTAGTACACAGGCATCTTCTTGGCCCCCACTGAGCTGACCCTATGGATGGGCAGTGATTATTATCTCTTTTTGCTGGAAGCTTTATTAATTAACAGTACGTAGGTCTCAATTTGTCTAAAACAAACATCTTTGTCTCCCCACCCTGGTCTTGCTGTGATATCCCCAGTAACAATTAGGGATATGCTTCTTACCAGAACCTTCAGCCATGACCACAACAAATCAGGTTCCAGATTCTATTGACTTATATTCTTCCTTCTTTGAAATATTCCTCCAAATTATTCTCTTCTCTTCATCTTAGCTCATTGTCTCTCACCTGGCATATCCCAACTGCCCCGTCTAAGTGTCTTTGTTCTCAGTCTGTCTCATCTCCAACCACTTTGATGCAATAGAAATTAGTATTCTAGCCCTTCTGCCCTCATCTCTCATACTCCAGAACCTTGCTGTCCAATGTGGTAGCCCTTGGCCGCACGGCTATTGGACACTTCCAGTGTAGTTGGTCCAAACTGAAAATGATGAAAGTATAAAAATAATTTAAACATTTACTGTAGATCAAGAATGTGAAGTATCTTATTAATGTTCATGCTGATCACATGTTGAAACAATAATATTTGGAAATATTTGAGGTTAAACAAACTGTACCATTAGCATTACCTTCATTCATTCTCTTCTCTGTCTTATGATACACCCTATTACTCTTTGGGAGTAATGCTCTGATGCCAAGGCCTTCCCAATCCACTGCCTTTACACTGGCCTTCTATCCTCCCCGGAACACCCTTCATGCAGACAGCCCTTACTCACTCAAAATTTCATTAAAACATCACTTGCTCCAGGGAGACTTCCCTACAGAAATGATTCCTCTGTAGACCATCTAGACAGTCTACTTGATTTAAGTGTTTATTTGAAATTTCTTTCTTTTATGTCTGTCTCCCTCAATGGACTGTGAGGTCTATGAAAGAAGACATCCAAATTTGGCCATGTTCCTTCCAGAACTTACGCACCTCTATAATGTCTGGAAACCTAACAAGTGTTTCATGCGTTCCACCTCAGTAAGTGAATGAATGAATTTTAACCCCTCCGTGAATGACGGTAACACTGAGTAGTGAGCCAGTCTTCCATTCCTCCTCAGGTTCCAATGAGGCAGAATGAGGTGGTTAGTGCGAAGCAAGGCTGGCTCCCACTCTGGCTCCCGGCCTCCACTTCCATCGGTGGGCATGAGCTTCCAAGTGAAGGTGAGCTTCTATCCCCACCCTCTGGTGTCCACAAAGCCCAGGAGAGCTCAACTCAGAAACAACAAGGCCATATCCTACTTTCTCTGGGGAAGAGTCAGTGGGCAGAATGGAAGCTGATGCCATGTCCCTTTGGTGCCACGAAGAAGGGCTCCACTTTTGCTGGGGTGCTGCTCACCGGCCCCAGCATGAAATTCAATACACACATTCATTCATTCATTCACCCAGCACCAAGCCGTGCCTCGACAGGAAGACCATCTGCTAGAGAAAGAGGGCTAAACAGGATCCAGAGGTTCAAGCTGTCCAAATTTCCATGATACAAATATACATGATTTTATATACAACATAATACATATAAAATGTCATTGATCAGCGTAAGAACTAAGAAAACAACAAGAAAAGATAATCAACAGGTACCCACACTGGGATGAATCAGATGTTCAAATTATCTGACAAGGATTTTAAAGGAATCATCATAAAGATGATTCAACAAACAATCAAAAATTCTGTTAAACAAATAAAAAATGTGGGAAACTGCACAAGAAATAGAAATGACAAAAATGGAAATAACAGTTTAAAAAAAACCCTAACTGGATGGGTTCATACTAGAGTGGAGAGGACAGACCCTAAAATCAGTGACCTCAAGGAGAAATTAATATCATTTACCCAGACTGCACAGTGCAGAGAAAATGAAGTCTTAAGACCAGTGGCACAGAGAGAAAGCGGTACGTCTTTATGTTACTGCATCCCGCACATGAGATGAAAGAAAAAATATTCAAATAAATTCCGACTGAAAATTGCTAGATTTGTAGAAAGACATAAACTCATAGTCTGGAGGCTACCAGAAGCCGGTAGATTAAACCCAATGAAGTCCCCACGGAGACACGTATTAACTAAACTTCGGAAACCTGAAGACAAACAAAAGTTTTGAAAGTGCCCCAACTGATTTCTCACCTACAACCAGAGAGAATGGAAGGATGGGATACAGTATCTTTGAAACTCTAAAGGAAAAATTGTCAGTTGCACATTCGATGTACAGCAAATTAATCCTTCGTTAACACAGGGAAATAAGGGCAGGGACAGAGGAAGACTGGGAACATTGCTAGCAAAGAATGGATGAAGAAAGTTCTCCATACGGAAGGGGAATAAAGACAGAGAAGAGATGGAATCTTAGGGAAAAAGAAGCCCGCGGGAATACACAGAAATAGTTAAAGGAAAAATGATTAAGGGTAACAGGCTAGCCTCGTGAACTTTTTCTGTTTCGCGCTTGAGGCTACTATTATAAAACTCTCTGATCTGGTGATCAGTATACAACAAAGGTAAGTAAAAGAACACAGAGCTCCACTGTGGATGCAAAGCTATAGTCTCAAAAATACTCTCAGTAAATCAGGATGGAATGAATGAATGAATGAATGAAAATTAGTTCTCAGGAAGAGCTCATTAAAAAGTTTGTTTCCAACCAAAAAACACATAAATATTTCCAAAGCAGCACAATTTATGTGACAATGACTAAAGAGTCTTTTGTCAATCATCGAATGAGGTGGTGAAAATGTTGAATCGTGAAGGAACATGAAATCGGCGTAAGTGAAAGACGAAGCTGATCTGACTGTGGCGCTTCATCTTCACTGTCACTGCTTCCCCCACGCTCCGTTTGTCTCTAAATTTACTGCCCCGAATCTGATCCAAAGCAGCTGCTTTCCCACAAAAAGGCTTATCTTTTTCGGCATGGGGAATAAAACGGGGTTAAAAATGCAACAAGATACCTCGCTGTCTCCACCATGTCCGAGCAGGGTGTGTGCAGGCCTGCAGCTCGTAAAGTTGGTGTGAAAGCAGCACTGACTTATCCTCTGCACACAGAGGTCCGTAGAGCAAGGCAGGGGCTGCTGCACCAGGCAGCCCAGAGCCAGCCCCTTTGCTGTCCTTGGCTGGGAGGAGCCTCTGGGCCCAGCGGCAAGGTCAGCCCCGCGGCTGCTCACCGGTGAGCCTGGGCCGCTCCTGAGAGGATCGAAGGCCCAGCTGAGGGGCCGAGGGCAGACTACCAAGGGCAGGCAGCGGAGATGAGGCAGGGCACCCTGGCACAGGGTACATCACACCATCACACTCCTCCAGGAGCACTGCACTGAGGCAGCCATGGCCAGGTGGCTGAAATGCCATCAGCCATGGCCCCAGACACAGCTGCTTTCAATGACACAAGCAGCTGAGGGTGCAGATGATATGGGTGGAAATGCGGTGGGGACAGTGGCTCTGACAGACAGCGTCTCCCTCCTCAGGGCTCTTTCCTGCAGGAGCTGTGGACTCACTCATCACAGCTACCAAGCAAAAGGTCAAAGGAGAAGGAGCAGCTCGGGGCCGCAGCACCTCATCTCAAAGGTGTTGCCCTCCCCTTGTCTTGATCCCACCTCACAGCCTGTGCACAGCGACTCCGAGCCTGCGGGGATGCTGGCCCCTTGGGCTCTTCTGCTGTGGGTTCCCTGCCCATTGTGCTTCCTCTTCTCCAGTCCTTACCCCCGGAAATACTCATCGGGGGACCCAGTCCAACCAGTCACCCAGCTGTGCGGCTGCAAGGTCACACAGCTGACTGTGTTTACAGAAAGGTGATGACACCTTGAAACAGCTCCAAAAATCTGTCTGCCCCCCAAGCCCCAGAGCCTGTGAATTAACCTTCTGTGGTCAAGGGTCCTTTTAGATGTAATCTATAATCTCAAGAACAGCTCATCCTGGATTTAGAGCTGGTCTGAATTTCGGTGACACTTGTCCTCTAAGAGACAAGGACACAGAGAGGGACAGAGGAGGTGATGTGGACACAGGTGGAGATGGGGGAGCTGCCAGCCTGGACCGGAAGCCAAGAAAAGAAAGACGGAGCACCCCCCCACACACACCACAGGGGAGTGGAGCCCTGATGACACTTTGCCTTTCAGCTTTCGGTCTGCGAGCCCAAGAGGAGAGCTTGCTACTGTCTCCAGCCGTCCAGTTGGTCATAATGTGTTATGACGAGCAAGGAAAGCCAGGGACCACTGTTTCATCCACATTGGTTGTGTATACATTTGTCTTAGGAAAAATACACATAATACTGAGTGCTCTTCCCGGGATATTTGGCGATATTTCAAATATTTCTATCATGTATGTGTAAAACTGAGCCCACTTTATACATAATATGCTGAACAAATATCTCTGTATATGTTCAGCCACCTAATTCAAAATTCTCCAAAACAGATTTTGAGTTTTCAGACTAGGTATGCTCAGTGGGGAAAGTCTAGGCAAGTATTCCAGAATTCAAAAACTCCACAATCTGAAATCTGGTCCCAAGCATTTCACCCTTGGGCCAGCTGTCTCTGCTGGGCTTTCCGGGGAGCATCTGGGTGAACGGAACCGCTCCCTGACTTGGCTGAGTATGAAGACATTGTCACAACATCACCCACGAATTTCTTAGGACTCCTGCTTAGCTCTCTTCTCGTGACCACACTCGCAGATGGGTTGAGGGGCATCTGTAGAAAAGCATTTTTTAAAAAATGCCTCTGTTACCTTGGAGAAGTAGAGGCCTCCTCTCAAGAATTCTAACTTGGATGCTGTGACAGTGGGGCCTGAGTAATCCTCTGTTGCACAGGTCTGTCCTCCACATTACAGGACATTAGCGGCATTGCTGGGCTCCACTCAGTTGATGCCAGCAGAGATTTCAGTTCTAACACCAAAGGTGTTTCCAGATATTGCCACGTGTACCCAGGGGCAAAGCTGATTCTGGTTGAGAACAGTCACCGTCACATTTTCTCATGAGTGTGTTGGAGGAGGAAAACATAAGAGCTTATCAGCTTATTCTTACCTTGAAAGTGACTGGGGATCTTGTCTGTAGGGGAGGGCGGAGGCAAGGTGAACGGCAGGTGTTTCTTAGGACAAATTCTTCAACTGCTTGCACTCAGGTGGCTCCATCTTGAGCCTCACATCTTCCCAACCTGGTGCTCACTTCACACCTGGGACTCAGTGAGCGGCAAATCGCCCGCCTCTAAGTCTGAGCTCTCTGATTGGACAAAGGCATTTTGCCCACCGGAAGTGGTACAATGCTGCCCCCCAAGAGAAAGGGCTTGGATATGACCAGTACATTGCATTCTCAGATGGCGGGCTCCATACCCTCTGCATGCGCCATCAGAAATCATCAATAATACCAAATGTTCATGTAGAGTGAGCGGTCCTTGCCTTCGGCCTGCCAATTATTAGGAATTCTCTGTGTATCGTTGTAAAGCCACTTTCCCTCACCAAATTGTGGTTTTGGAGAAGCAAAAGAAAATAAGTAATGGAATTTCACAGCTAAAGGTAAAAATCTAAGTTTTAATCCTAAACATGTACTTTCTTCTACCACTATTAAGTAGAGCAACATAACTGTTTTTCCCTCTACCATTTTTCTTTTCTAAGCCTTATTCTGATGGCTCTTGGGGTTAATCTGTAAAATGTCAAAAGACAAATAGATTGTAAAAAATTAAAAAGAGGTAGGAAGTAGGGAGGAAAAGAAACAAGGTGCTTGGGTAATTTGCAATATGATTAATCAGTCCTTGAATAATCAAATCATCCAGCTGCAGGAAACAAGTGAGATGGGAGGAGGAAAACGGAGGCAGTCACCACAAAATGCTCTGTGGGAGACGTTTGGGGCACACTGCAGAAGGGCAGTTCTGGTACCATGTCTACCACGTACTGTGGAGTCTGCAAAACAAAATTTACATTAGGAAAATAAATGGAGGACGAAGAAATAATCCTTTTCTCAGGTAACTGCCTGTAATTATAGACATCACTAAAGAGAGTAAATAAGATTGAAAATTACACAGAAGTTGCCAAAACCCCAGCTAGAATAAAACAAAGTCAGATGGCATGGAAGTCTTAGATGCCTGAATGAAAAATGACTAAATGAAACCAAATTTGGTCCCACAAGAAGAATGGGTAAAACTTTTAACCAATTAGGAGAACTCCAGCATAATCAAATGTGAGCCACATAATTATTACATGGAACAGTAAATATTTTAATTATATAATTAGATACAAATGTAAGGTTTTTGTTTTCTTCTTTTTGTGTGCTTGTGTTTTTCTGCTTTCATGGTCAGCAGCCTAATGTAGTGATTTAATTACCTCAGAGTCAGTCAGTTAAGCTTTCTGTCTGAAAACTGCCTTTTCACAATGCCCTCAACTGACCTGAAGTGAAACTCAAACTCACCCTTTGTACCCAGGGTTTTCCTGACAACAAAAGAGGTATTGGTTCTCCTTTCCCCAGATACCAGCACTGGGCTTATTTCCCAGCCCCTTCTCCTCCTCCCTGAGTCTCCTTCCTCCACCCCTTCCTTGCCCTCACTCCACCCTCCAGCTCATTCCACACACACCCCCACCACACACACAATGGAAAGGAATGCCAGGTCCGCCATCTTGTTCTCCCAGTTACACAGAAACAAGAGCATAGGGGTTGCTCTACATTCTAAGTGCATGAAATCCCTGTCCCTTCTGCTCTGACCTTGACTGCTACAGTAGCACAAGTGCTGCAGCAGGTCTGTTTTGGAGTCAGGGGGAGGAGGAGGAATCAGAAACAGCACCTGCTAGAAGGAGTGGGCAGCCACATGGCATGGTGGAAGAGCTAGAACTATGCCAGAGAGCCCTTAATTTCTCTCTTCTTTCATGTCCTACTCACTGAAAGAAAAGCACTTTGGATGGGAAAGGGCTTTACTGAACTAAGGTGGAGTCTGTTGGGTCTTCACTGGATTTTCCTCTGCAAATCACACTGCACCTGACACATGCCCAGGTTAAAGCAAATTTGAGAGACTTATCTCAGTCACTGTGTCCTCACTAGGACAAAACACCAGATACCTGCAACTTGAAGGAGGAGAAGCTCATTCTGGTCCACAGCTCTAGAAGTCTCAGTCCGTTCATGGCCTTCCAGCTGCAGAGGAGAAACTGCACAGTAGAAGAGCCCATCAGAGGAAAAGCTGCTCACATCACTGCAACAAAGAAGCAGAGAGGGAAGGGAAGGCTAGGAAGGTATATGCATTCAAGCCACGCCCCCCGGTGACCTACCTCTTTCCCCTAGGCTACTCCTTCTAACAGCGCATCCAGCTACTGCATTCATCACTGATGATATAGCACCCGGGGATCCAATCGGCTTCCCAAAGTCCCACCTTTGAATTTATGAGAGTTTGGGGGACATCTCAGATCTAAACCA